TTCTTGAGAAGTCGATAAAACAGAGCCCCGCCGATGCCAAAAAGCAGAGTCCCTGCTATCATAATTCCAAATATGTAAACGTCTTCAACATCCTCCTGAGACAGGACTGAGAGGAACATTAGCTGCCACACTGCCCACGGATCCATGCCGTACCCCACAGCGTGCATCTCAACTGGACACACCGGTTCTCCAGGACCTTGTCGTTTAGATGAAAAAATCTTATCAATAGAGTTGAACGTCCAGGATACCAGATCCATAATCTTAATTTACATTTGGGAGATGTGAACCAGGCACTTCAGATACACAGAGATCAGAGCAGGAGGAAGGAAAAATGGGGGAGGAAAGACAGAAGCAGCCACCTCGATCAGAGCCAGGAAGGAAAATAACAAAAAATCCTGAAAGAAAATATGCATTATTTCTACAAACCAAATACTAGCTTTAAAAAAATTGACATTGGTCTAATTCAAATTATCTAATAATTTATGCAACTTTGCCCCGTATTTGCAAAAGCAGGGCTGGACCGTACTATGGCTCTGGCAGTCTGGCCAGGCGAGTCACACCTTTAAATCCTTAGTCAGTGACAGAGAGAGCACAGAGAAAAATGAGACAGAACGTTCAATAACTGCTGAGTAGATATTTCACCTATGTTTAAAGCCATTGAAAATATTTGTATATTTTTTATTTCTGGTATAACTACATTGTAAGTAATATGAGGTTATAATCCTCCTTTACACTTTACAACATGACCAAATAACCCTTTGTTCATTATGTCACGGCTTTGACATTTACATGGACAGTTTGAATTTTTGTGTTGACTAAATCCTAAAAATTTCATAGTAGTTTATACAAATGGCATTTTAATGATTTTATGTTGACATAGTTTTTTTTTGAACACCTAGTTTGCCCTGTAACACTAAACATGTTGTGTCAAACAACACGTTGCACATGAACCGTTGCTGGTAAACGGACCACAGACAGATTCTGTTATCAGCATAAATAACCACAGACTTACTTCTTTAAAGTCAGTATCTCACAGGGTTGCAATTGTTGGGTACTATTTAAAGACAAAACTGTGAGGAAAAATGATAAATTTTAACTTAGAATGTCATGTTTGTGTACATTTACAATGTTTTCGAGTATGGTGTTTAATTTTTAGCTTTGTAATTTAGTCACGAAGTGTCTGAAATTACATTTCAGCCATGCCTCAATTTGAAGTTTGCTCACAATGCTTTATTTTTATTGTTTCAAATCAGTCACAGTTTGGTTTCATAGGGTGCCAACTTCTCCCAGATATCTCATATTTCTCTCACTTTCTGATTTGTTCAACAAAACGGATAATGGTTCTAGATCCCTACAACACACATCTGTGATCTTTTTGATTCTTTGTTTTGAAGATTTTTCAAGCATGTTCAAAAATCTAGTGACATGAGGGTGAGGCCCAGTGGTTCATGCAAGAAAATTGAGATCCCCCAACAAACGTTTCCAGCCATTTTGGAAACTCCCCATGAGTGCTGTTCACAATTACCAACAGTCACAGCCCAGCAATATACATGCTTAATTAAAGCCTGACCCATCAAAAAATAGTCAGAAAATTCAAATTTTTTAGAATTTAGATATTTATTAAGCTTTGAAACATGGTCCAAAAAAAAAAAATTGCTATATCATTTTATTTATGATATAATTTTTGTATCACATTTGATACGGCAGGTTTTTCCTAGAATTTTTGCTCACAACAATGTGAGTTGTAAATACAAAAACAATTTTTGCCCACAACATTTAGAAAGTATTGAACACTTAGGCAATGTTTCTGTTAGGTTTTTTTCACATACAACTTTTTATAGCCATTTATTTCACAGCGTGGTAGGCACCAAAACAGTTTCTGTCCTTGTTCAGGCAAAGATATACCTTACACTTTTTACAGTAGACATGTGAAAAGTGATTGCCAGTGCAATGCTTGCATCTTTGTCGGGTTTCCCATGTTGGAAAATGATCAATGCCATTGTTTCTCACATCAAGAGGCACGCTGCAGCTTGGTCTTTTACGGGGTGGTGTTGGAGTTGCTTCTGGAGAGGAAAGTGGTCTATCACACTTGATTTTGACCTTTCCTGCACTTGTGAGAGAAGTGCCAAACGAAGCCTGAAACCTTCGCAGAGCCATGGGTTTTTTTGGGGTTGTAGCTTCAGCTGATCTCTTCTGTAGAGGTTCCAAGCATTGATGATGGCTACTGTAACAGTATGCCACCAGATGTACATGTACTATCTTCAGGATCTGAAGCTGAACTTGTAAAGTGCAGAAAGCAAATCAAGGAGATCAACACCTCCAATGAACTTGTTATATGTTTCAACAATGGCTGGTCTGGGAACCATTATATGAGTTTTGGATTTGCGATCCCAACGTTTCACATTTCCCACTGGTTCAATGCCAACAAATGAGGAAATCAGGTTCACTGCTTTGTTGTCATACCATCTCACAATTATGTTGTTGTCCTGGTTCACTCTGAAGTCCATTGACCCTCTTCCACTCTTCTTTAATTCTTTTTCATCCCTCATGATGCAATCTTTCATCCTGTTCATGCGGATTGTGCCAACGTAATGGATTCCTCTCTCTATTAGGTGTTGGACCAGGGGAACTGATGTAAAGTAGTTATCGGCAAAGACCTTGTGATTCCTTCCTGCTGGAAGTGTAGATGTCATTTTCAGCACAACTTCTCCTGTAACACCAACATCAGACTTTTCCCTGGTTGGATTTTCTACACCTTGGCAAATATCAAAGTCATAAAGAAAGCCACTTTGTCCAGCACGTCCCCGCAACTTGAAACCCCATTTGTGAGGTTTTGCAGGCATGTAGACGCGTAGATGAGACTTTCCCTTGAACGGTACCATAATTTCATCAACAGCATGGCATTCTTCAGGCAGAATGCAGAGAAACTGTTCTTGTAGTTTTTGCAACCACGGTCTGAGCTTCCACAGTTTGTCTTTTTTTGCATCATCAGATGCACTGAAATTGCCCTGAAAGTGAATTAGGGTCAGCAATTTCAGAAACCGATCTCTAGACATCACATCACAAACTGCAGGAAGCTTTGTTTCCATCTCCCAACAGGCTCTCACACAGGACATCTGTACGAGCCCCATATGCAAATACATGCTTAGAACCTGCTCCAGCTCTTTTGCAGTTGTGTTTATTGACTTGCCCTCTTTTAGAACACTATACATGTTTGTTTGTTCTGCAATCTCCTGGAGCATTTCGTCTGTGACAAATTGCTTGAAGTACATGTATGGTGTCATGTCACACCTGTTATCTGTGCCTTCCTCAAGACTGACAATGAAATCGACAGATGGAGCTTGATATTTTATTTTTCTCCATTTGTATTCTTTCCTTTTTGTATTGGCCTTTCCTGATTCATTTCTGACTGTGTCCAGTGTTGTTGTTGGGACCTCAGCTTCCATGCTTGTCTGGGCTACACTTTGATCCTGATGTTCTTCCTCGTCACTGCTATCTGAACTTCCTTCATCTTGCACAGCCTGGGGAGTCCAGTCCTCATCATCATCCTCATCATCTTCTCCTAGCTGCTCTAAGTCACTTGAATTCCCATCTACTACCATGTTGATGACATTTTCAATGTACTTTCTTTTTCTCTCCTCTTCCTCTAACCAGTTTGACATCTAAAGTACACAAAAAACTGGTCAATACACCATAAAGATGAAAATAACTAAGACTATTGTAGAATATTTGTTATAGTGAAATAACCAAAAAAATTTATTTTTGAAATTGCATTTAATGATAATATATAAACAAAATAGTTTGTGGCTGTATTGTGGCAGGCATGACATAGATTACTTTACAAAAAAGTTACATGACTGTTCAGTGATGAAGCACCTTATATACCTGCAGTACCAAATATGATACACACATTTTAACACGATTTAACTGCAATAAAATGAATACATTTTTAGGTAATTGTGCACTGTTTCAAAACATAAAGCATTAATTTAAAAAAGTGAATAACAATTTATATGTTATTCTTACCGTAACTTCTCTAAAACTGGCAAAGAATTTCCAGAAAAAAACGTGTGACGACACTCATCGGAGAAGACATTTTGAAAAAAAGAAAAAAAGCCGTTTCACTGTCTGCAGTGCAATGATACTCCAGCAGAGGGCAGTGTACATGTCTCAAATTATATACAATAGGTTGTTAGGGTGAATTTTGATCATGTTGAAAAGAAATACGTCACGGAAATTTATGTAGCAAATATGATACAAATGGCGATAAAGGGTTTTAACCACCTAATATAAAAGTGGGAGTGGTGTAAAAGTTTATTAAACAGTTTGCAAAAACCACTTTGACACATTTGAGTCTGAAGTTGTTTTAAAACAACATATTTCTTTTACTAGCTGTTAGCTTGTATTCCATAAGAAAACATTTTCCTGAAATAAACTGATGACACTCTGAAATATTTCTACTGCATATATGATAATATTACTGATGACAACTACACAGAACACACTTAAAAATTCCAAACTATGCTTTTAAGCTGACACCATTAATTTTTTCAAAATATGCTTTTAAGTTAACACCATTAGCTTGGTAATGCTAATTGAAATACTTCCTGTATCTACCGACCCAAGTCCCTCCATTATTGTTTCATTTTGTAAAAATGGCTGCATTAAAATGGTATATTACATATTATACACTTTTATTGCAACATAAAACATACATTTTAAATTCCAGAGTGGTCATCTTCTATGGTGAAAACACTCATATCAGGAAAATCTAAAGACTATAACTCTAGGAGCAAAGTTAGACTTCAAAGGATTTCTGCTGCATGAAAAATATATCCAATAACAAACCAGGCCAGAGAATATTTGCTTTGTTTTGTTTTTTTGAATGTCCAGAGGACCAGATTTAACTTTTTTAGATTTTTCTACCTGGATTATTGAGCATGCATCAGGACATGACTAAACTGTTTTTAATTTCGGTAAAACAGTCATCCTGCAAGTACCTTGGTATTTCTCCATCCTCCATGTACTCTGGGACTGGGTGGGTGCTAAGTTTCTGTTCTCCAAAAAGTTTCTTGGCCAAATCATAAAACACATCTCTGTCTGGTGAGATGGTCCTGCAACAGATGAACATCCACAGTCAGAAAGTCTGGCTAAGTTGGTTCAAATGAAAACTTTTGTAAGGGTCTTAACCTAGAGTTGATGTTGTGGATGATGTGATAATACGCCTTGGCCCTCAGAGTGTGCGGCATGGCCCAGAATCCGTCTCGACCCATGGTTTTAAGCTGCTGGTGCTCGCTCTTTAGGATCTGCTCATATTTACTTGCAGCTTCAGGATCGATCTTCTCCCAGTCCACAAACTGTCCGTACTTCATCCCCGAGCTGGAGCAGATCTCCCAGTTGTCCAACTCAGAGATGGTCATCATAGACACTGACCTGGCATTGCCTTTACTGCCTAAGAAAGATACACACATAGCCACCTTTAGTGTGCACCTCCGTTTGTTTTGATTGTAGAATTAAAATTCCTTTGTAATATGCTGTTGCAATACCACTGAGCTTGTTTGGTTTGGACTTCTTAGGGGAAATTTTAGCACTGGATTGATCCCCAGCATTATTCTCCTTTTTGGACATTTGATGTTTCAGTTGGGAGCTTGCTCTCTGTCTTAGAGGACTGAACCTCGAAAAGTTCCCCACGTCAATATCAGATGATGACTCATAACTGTAAAATGACCTGAAAAAGATAAGATCCCGTGTAGAATATGCAACCAGCATTGATATTAGTTATTTGTCATGTTGGCTAAGCATTGCCATAATCTTTGTTGGCCAATGAAACAGCCTTGAAAAGAAAATCTTACCTTGAGCGAGGTCTTAGAATGGTTTCTACTGTCTGTACTGGCATACCATAGCCTCTACTATCCTCTAGGCTGTCATAGGAGCGAGACCTTTGTCTTCTTCCTGTTACCATGGGGCTCAGGTCTTGGTCAGAGGACACGTGGGATATTAAGTTCAAGTTTCCACAGTTGGAGAACTTCAGTGTCCTTGAAATGTGAATCATTTCCAAGTCCTGTTGTTTGAAGACGAGACATCTGGAGCGTAACGTTTCTTCCTACTGAAGACACATTCAGTAGTTCAGGGCTTTATATAAGTCTTCTGAGGTCATGTGACTGATGGGCGGTTTGTTTGGGGTAATTAAAGTACAGAAAAAGAGAAAGTTCCATTGATTTTCCTATTTTTGACTTTCACAACTTACTGTTTCTAAGAAGGTATCATAAAGCATCGGACAGGGCCACCATCATCCAGCACGCAAAGAGAAAACAACAATGTGGCATCAAAATATCTGGAAAATTAGGTAAATACAGGCAATTTTTAATGATCAGCTGTTCTCTTCAAAACAAACCTTTTACATTAGCCATCATAAATTGATGCATCTTTAAGAATTAGTTTTGTTTAGATTATTAAACAATCATGATTGTGGTTGCTCATGTAGGTTTCTTGGTGCATAATTTCAGGTTTGTTGGTTTGTTTCTGATTCAGGTTTTCACTTACATGCCTTTGTGTTTTGTGTACTCAGTTACCCTTTCCCTCATTAGCTTGTCTGTATTTGCTTGTCTTTTAAAAAAACCTATAGTCTTTGGGTTTGATAAGCTGGATACTTGATATGAGACAGTCCATGTGCATGTTGGATTTTATTTTTTCATGTCATCCTGCTTTTGCTGCAAATCTGGCTTAATACACTCAAAAGGACGTTAATTTCATCATTTGCTCATTATGGTGAAAGACTGCTATCAATATTTTTAATGTTATTGTCAATGTTTTTGCCTGTATATGCGTGTGTGTGTGTGTGTTCATCTGCTTCTCTGTTAGCAATATATCTCATGAAGTACTTGACAGTTTTTAATTAAACTTGCAGAGTGTAATCATTGAATATACATCTACAGATGATTAAGTTTTGGAGTCAGCTCAATATGACTATTACAACAAAGTGACCTTAAAAACACAAGCCTGGCTATCACTTAGACGGTTTGACATATATTGATTAAAAAAGCTGTGTGGTAGTAACTGAGACTGACTGCTAACACAAATTGTGTGTCAACAGGTTGTTAAAGCTATGTTTAAACTCTTCAATTAGGTATTTTGAGTCCATTCTGTTTGTCTATTAGCAAAATATTTCACGAACATTTAAACACTTTAATAAAACTTTATGATGTATATTTATTACTGATTTAACTTTTGGAGTAAACCAAATTCAGAATTGTTAATACAGCTAAGCAACATTAATCACCACAAATATGGCTTGCATTTGGTCAGTTTTACTGTCATACAGCTAAAATTTGAGTTCTATTTCGTATAGGCTTCGCCCTTTAAGAGCTGTCGCTAGTGGGTTTATCCCGTCATGTGAAGCATCGCACTGAAAAGTTTAGTTTGCTGTGTGGGCCCCACCCGGTTCGTATTAATTACGTTAAGAGCGGGTAATCGGCTCCCATTTTTCTTCAGCAAGCTAATAGCACTGTCAGAAGAACGAAGAAGGGAAGTTGTCTAGCTTGACCAACCTTTGTTAAGACTGCCTGTGGCCCCGCCACGTCAACCTCCAGCCGTCCCGGTGAGTTCTCCTCCTCGAGGAGAAGCAGACGAGCAGTCTTGTTTCAAGGTAAGTACCGAGGAGTATTTCTCAGTGGCGGGTCACTACACGCTGGACGACGCCATCTTGTAATTTTCCTTTTATCGCCGACTCTCGGAGCAAATCGGATGCTTCCTCTGGGACAGGCGACGTCAGCAGCAGCCCCCCGCTGCTCACTCCCTCCTGGAGAGCGTAGTGTCAGAACGAGGGGGGCTGAGCGAATGCTCACCCCTCCCCGGACCTTTTTTGCATTGGCGACCACACTGCACCCAGCCGAAGGGACTTTTTCCGTCCCTCTTCTTTCCCCGCCCAGATCGGATGATCTAGCGGGAAGGTTTCTGGGCTCCACCCCGGCTCGCCGCCCTGATCCCATCTGGCCTCGTTTCCCAGCAGTGACGTCCAACTGGAACGAGGCCGTAGCCGGTCCTGGTAGAATGAGGGTGCCGGTTCCCACATTCGCACCTATCACCAGAGTGGAGGGTTTCACCAAGCGGAAATTCCCTCGGTGCCCCCAAAGAGCCGAGCCTGGCAGAGGCTTTCGGAGCAAAGATGTCCAGGTTGGACCAGCGTCCTGCGCCTCCGGGTAAGCATGACCAGACAGTGACGTCGCTCTCCAACCGAGCTCACCAGTGTGTGTTCCAGGTGGCCGCAGTGAACAATACGTTACACTGCTGGCGTACAACATTCAAGAGGTTGGAGTAGACGTAGCGCTCCCTCTGCAAGGCAGCTGACGTCATCCTCAACCTATGCGCCTCTTTTGTTGTCTGCCGGTCTCGCATCGCAGCCCGGAGGATGAGGTTTTCTAGAGGACATGGTTTTCCAGAGGTCCACCTGGCTCGTCACTCCACTTCCCTTTCGGAGGAGCTGCAGAAGTTTTTTTTGTTGGAGGGCCCCATCAGCGACGGACATGCTGCTCGGGACCATTTTCAAGACACCATGGCTGCAGCAGCATCTTCCCGCTCCACTACGCCGCCAGCCCCACCCGTCAGACATCAGCCTTTCTCATCCCGGCAACCGGAGGTTCAGCGTTTCCCTGAGATCGCCAACAGGCGGCACCCTGGGACAACAAACCGCAGAGCTCACGGGGGGGAGAAGATTCAAATGATGATTTGCGGAGGATGCGTGTAAAGACGACACGAGTTTTGAAATAAAACATCATTTAAAAATTTAAGTGTCTGATTTAGCCAGTCCTGTCAGCTCGGATGACCTCACAGCGGCTCCTTCACATATCCTCCACACAAAACGAGCCGGTGGCTTTTAAAAAAGGTTTTTCAGAATCACCACTGCTCCAAATAAACACGAGACGCTTGCATGACGCAACAGTCGAGAGCGAATGTGGTCCGCAGAACGAGTCCAGTGGATTAACTCGTTTTCAGCCTGAGTTTCACGCTTCTCACTTCAACAGTGTCAAACGCGCGCTCCCGCGACGCCAGCAGCCTCACTCAAACGGCGCTTCGTTGATGAAGGCGCGCACACCGCTCCCCAGCACTCGCTGGCTCGTATCAGCATAAATGTGAGACTGCAGAACGAGCCCAGTGAGAAATCTCGCTCTCAGCAGGAGCGGCACGTGTCTCACCGCAACGGTGTCAAACGAGTGCTTCGGCGACGCCAACAGCCTTCACTCAAACGGCGCTGCGTTGATGAAGGCGCGCACACCGCTCCCCAGCGCTAGCCGGCTCGCATCAGCATTAAGGTGAAACCACAGAACGAGTCCAGTGAGAACCTCGCTCTCAGCAGGAGCGGCACGCGTCTCACCACAGCGGCGTCAAACGCGCGCTCCCACGGCGCCTGCAGTTTTCACTCAAACGGCGCGGCGTTGATGAAGGTGCGCACACTGCTTCCCAGCGCTCACCGGTTCGCATCAGCATGCCTCTCCTCAACACACACCGGTCCACATCAACATGAATGTGAACCCGCAGCCTGAGTGTGGCACAGAGGCACGCTCAGAGCCCTTTCGAGGAAGCCTCGCCTTGGGTCTCGCGGAACACACTTCCGCGATGCATGACGACGGTTGGGGCGGTAGACTGACTGACAACCGTAAGAAGCATGACGCACCACCTAAACGCACGCCCACTCCACGAACGTCGCGCGGAGTGGCTGCGAACATGCTCGCCAGACAGATGGATGGCCAAGCTGATAAGCAGGGGTTACACACTGCAATCCGCAGCTCGACCCACTCCGTTCGGAGGAGTTTTAGATACAGTCCTGTCATCACCAGACCAGGTCTCATCCCTAAATGCAGAAGTCCAGGAACTTTTGGTTAAAGAGGTAATTTTCCAGGGTTCCCGACGGAGAGGAAAACACAGTTTTTTATTCACGTTACTTCCTGGTTCCAAAACGGACCGGAGGAACGAGACCGATTTTGGACCTGTCAATTTTCAACAAGGCGATCGTGGGCAGACCATTTCACATGTTGACAACGGGAAGCAGCGGCACAGGCTTAGGTGTTGACGTCACACCTGCTAATTCTGGGCTTCGCCATAAATTGGAAAAAAGCTCGATTCTCCCGGCCCAGACAATCGTTTATCTGGGAGTGGAGCTAAACTCGACCACCATGAGGGCTCGTTTGTCACAGACGAGAATCGACACTCTGAGTCCAGCTCCACCACGTATGACCGGGCAAAGTAGTAACAGCTATTTCCATCATGAAGCTGTTAGGAACGATGTCGTCAGCTCACACAGTGGCCCGCTGGGCTTACTACCCATGCAACACCTCCAGAGATGGTTTTGCTCGTCTGTGCGTGGATCCGGTAAAGCAAAAGAGACGGATGATCACTGTTCCTCCCTCCATGAGAACAGATCTCCGACACTAGGAAAACTCCCTGGTTCTGTCGGAGGGAGTCCCCGTCAGCAGACCTACGTCACATGTGTCAGTCTTCACAGATGCGTCGTTGTCAGGTTGGGGGGTGACATGCCTATCTCGAGCCGTAGGTGCGCTGTGGCCTTCTCACAACAATTCATATAAACGTTCTGGAATGTCGCACAGTTCTGAATGTGATTCAACACTTTGCTCCTGTGCTACAGAATCAACACATTTTGATTCACACAGACAACAAGGTTACTGTTGCTTACATAAACCGGCAGGGGGTGTGCGCTCAGCCCAGATGTTACACATTGCGAGAAAACTACTGTATTGGGCACACCAAAATCTGCTCTCCATCAGAGCAGTGTACATCCCCAGTGTTCTGAACAGGGGACAGATGTGATGTCCAGGGGCAGTCCTCATCACGAGGACTGGACCCTCCACCTCGATCTGATGGCCCAGACGTGGCAGAAATTTGGCAAAGCAGCTGTGGACCTGTTTGCGACACGAGAAAACGCTCAGTGTCAACTATGGTTTTCACTGAGCCCGCGAGACGAACCACCACTGGGGGTGGACGCGTTTGCTCACAGCCCATGGCCCAAAATGCTTCTTTACGCGTTCCCCCCCACCTCCT